TGGTCTTGGAATGAAATCTCACCTAGGGAATTTTATGTAATCCAGTAGTTAAGTCTGATTTTTTAATGTTTCCCTGTGTCTGAATGTTCCAAAGTGGCTGCTGCATTTCTGTAAAATGAAGGTTTAACTGCAATGCACAATCTAAATGCAAAATCCTTAGATGGAAATTTAATTGTGTAAAATGTGCACAAGGTAATTAAGAACAAATTTTAGAACATTTCAGACTATAAAGTCCTCCTTCAGCTAGATCACTGGCTATATTGAAAATGCTTATTTTCAATTTGCAGTTATACTGAGAAACATAGAATATGTCTAAATTAAGAATAATAAAATCCAGTGCTCTTCAGTATAACTGTAAATTTAAAACTACTCCCACAACATTGTTGATATCCTAAGGAGGGGACAGTGACCAAAAGTAGGTCTTGAATTTGTCCTGTTCTTGCTTTCTGGCTACAATGTTTATTTTTTCTTTATCATTTATGATTTCATGACAATAATTACTTTAATATCAACAAAAGACATTTTTGTGGCTTTGTAAATATCTTTTAACTTTTGTTAAAATACCAAGGTTTCTGTCATGTGATTGGCAGTTGTTATGATGCCTCTTTGTGCACAAAAACACAAATATATTGTTTAAATTATGAAATCCAACATATTCAAATGCTGTTAACTCAAGAGCATTTCATAGATTATGGTTGGACAAATCAAAGATCAGTAAGGTGACACTAAAGAACAGTCCTAGTTTTACAGTAAGATGTTTGTGGTTTACTGTTATTTGAATATATTCCCAATGGTAAAAACTTCCAGTGCATTCTTTTTTCCCTTTTCCATAATATATGTCCCACAACATACAGAGTATTAGTTTGCTGAATCTTAAGTATTTGGAATTAAAATGCACTTTTTGTTTAATATTAAATAGAATCCCTCATCTCTACCTCCACCCACCCCCCCAAAAAATAAATAAAGCATTTCCAAATCTTTTACAATGTGAGCTGTTCCCCTCCTGGGAATGAAAAGGATGTGAGAGTCTTTTGATGAACTGCTGGAGCTTATGTACATCTACTTTTTTCAAAATGACTTAAGCTGCCTATATTTAAATGCTTCTTTTGTAAAGATGATAAAGAGAGCAAAGATTTCTATTGGCTTAGCCCTAATCTGTTTGCTTTGTTGCGATTTTTTTCCCGTTACTTTAACTGTTAACCTATTTATAAATCTAAATCTACATACAAAGGTCATTGGTTGGCTGAACTTAAACCATTTTACTCAGTAAATTTAATTAAGAAAATACAGTGCAACTCATAAGCAAATGAGTTTTTTCCTAGTTTTAAACCAAACCACCCTCTTGAGTGCTGATTGCCTTGCCCGACCCCTGGTGATACAGAAACAGGCAAAATTAAAAAGGACATTAAAGCTTCATTAAATCTGAAACACATTTAGTACAGTGACATATCTGCAGGCCATTTCAGAGAAGATTACATACTCTCTTTTGTAAGTTTCCTAATTTATAATACCTTGACAATAAAAACTGGGAAAATGCAAGTAGATTAATAGACCAGTAGGGGTAAAAGATACGGAATGGCCCCAGGTCTGTCTGTCTCTGAAATATTCACTCAGAACATATGTGCTTCCTCTTACCCATAAGAGTTCTGTGTTTATTTTGACTTTTGACAGCCTCATGAAGAATTTGTTCTTCATGTGGCCATACCTGCTAAGAGCCCTTTTTCTTCTTTACCTCCTAATAGAACTTGATAATAGGGTTCTAGGGTCTGGCTATATATTTCCTTCTACTTTTCCACAAGACAAATAGTGTGGAACATAAACACTGCAGCTGCATTAGACCTAGAAGGACAGAGACATATATGGAAAGCAGGTTCCTCTCCTGGGGCCTTAAAATGACTGTTTTCAGTGCCAGCCTAATAGTGTCACTGCCTCTTTTCACTGGCATAGGATTGGAGTCCTTGGCCTGATGCTGGAGAAGCCCAGTAGTGATGCTCCATGAGAGAGGAAGTGATTGTCATCATGCTGCCGTTGCAACAGTACATACTGTTTAGGGTCAAGGAACCATTCTCTGTCCTCTAACTCCAAAGAGGTCAGACCTGCAGGATATCTTAGAAGCAGCTATGCCTCCCAGGGGCATAGTTGATAGATAGGTAGGACTGAGGTCCCACAGGGTGTCAGGAAATTACACAGAAAGCAAAGCCAGACCCAAGAGTGATGAGTTCACCAGTTCACACACTGCACACGGGTGCAGAGGTGCTTCCAGCTGACCAAACTGCACTGAATTTTCTCTCTTGTTCTCTTATATGGTGATATCTTACAGAGCACATGAATCACATCAGCCATCCTTGTTTACCTTGTGCCAGTCATGAGAGAGGGGACCACTTAGATGAGTGCACATTCCCAAGTTGGCTGGAGCCTGGCCACTCCATAGAATAATTATGATTTGAGAATTGGAGGCTTTGTGTTGAAATGTGAAGAATTCACATTTTTTGCTTTATCTCACCCTTTTAAAGCCATCCATTTATCACTGCTTATTCTTTAAACTATAAGAACCAATCGACAGTGTTGGCACCTGCCAGCTAGTTTAGAACTTGACTGTATGTATGGTGAGCAAGTTTCTTCTGCTTGTAACCCATGTGGACAGAATTCTTCCATGGTGCCTAATGACATCTTCAACATGTACCTGAGTGAATGGCACAACATCTGTAGAAGTACTTGAGATAGAATATTCTAAATGTTTTCTAGTAGTTTTTAAGCTGTTAGCTTTTTTAGGTGAGAGACTCTCTTCTTGCTGGTTTTCTAACTCCAAATGGAATTAGATGCAAAATTCATAATCTACAGAGCACTGTGATGATAGGCAACAGCTTTAGCTATACTGTCACTGCCTGCCAAGTCAGTACAGAATGGCGTAAATGCCTAGTCCGCCGCAATAGACCACTGTGACTCCTCCTGAATCAGTATCCACACTCTTGTCGACCAGAAACACACTGTATTTTCAAAATGTAGGGCAAACCTAGAAGCCTGTATTGGGTAGGGCTGGGTAGGGGCAGGGGATGGGAGAGCTGAGTCTCTCCCCTTCTGGATAACAGTACATGGACAACAAACATAATCACAGAAACCCTGAAAGAGTTTCTCTTTCCTTCATACCATCTTGTGATGTTTTTGTTATTTATACCTGAAGGGATTCATGATATCTATCAAATGAAATGATGGTAATATTTCTTGAATATCTTGTATATATGAGTATAGGGTAATGAAATTTATTAGGTATTCCAAAACATATTCTAAACACACACACACGCGCGCACTCACACACACATCCAAATGAGTGTTGTCCCTTTCAAAGTAGTCACCTTACAAGGTCATATGGCTTATTCCTGTTACAGTGCTATTGCTCAGACTGGTTTTAGAACTTTGGAAACCTTAGCACATTCAGGTCTATCCTTAATAAAAGTAACAAAGTATTATTTGTAGGTAGCTTGTGTTTTGGTAATACCCATAGGCCATTCAAACATTAGTCCACAAATAATGTACATGATCAACAAACTGAGGGGTATAATTTTAAATCCAAGATAAGATGCAGTTCTAATAAAATGACGTAGGTGTTCTGTTACTTCAAATAATTCTAAATACAATTCCAAAGGAAGAGGTCAGAAATGTTTTAGCAGTGTGTCTTTGAAATAAGTTCACAACTTCTCAAGATCTAGAAAGGCAGTGTAATATGCTAGAAAGAACACTGGATTAAGTCGAAATTGTTGGGGTCAGACCCTAGGCTTACACTTACTATGTGGGAACTACATCAGTGGGACTCTAGAATTCTAATCTGCAAAGTAGATTGATGCTCTCTTAGGTCCATTACAGCTTTAAAATCCCTGATACCAGCCCAGCAACATGTCAAGATGGTGTCTCTACAAAATATTTTAAAACTTAGCCAGATGTGGTGGCGCATGCCTGTAGTCCTAGCTTCTCGGGAGGCTGAGACAGGAGGATTGCTTGAGCCCAGGAGTTCAAAACTTCAGTGAGCTGTGATCCCAACACTACACTCCATCCTGGGCTACAGAGCAAGACCCTGTCTCTAAAAAAAAAAAATAATAATAATTCCCGAGGTTCTGATTCTACTTTGAAAGTAGTTACAAATATATATAAAGGGTGTTAGGATTAAAGATGGGCCACATTATGAAGTTGCAAAATTTTGCCACTATTTTCTTTAAAGTTAGGATGTGTTTGTTAAATTTTATCTTATTACTTTGTATCAAGTCTATTATTAGTTGAATCATTTTATTTTTATAGATAAGGATCCAAAGACCAAACTTCAGTTGCCTGTGCATAAACACAGAGCAGTTTACAAATCAAGCTAACCTGGAAGCTCTAAGGATTCACTTTTCCAATTTCAGACTTAGAGCTACGGTTCTGACTTCACAGTCTTGATTTGAAATGGCCATTTTCCCACTGGTGTTAGCTCTCTTTTTCTAACTATGGATAGAAAAATGGACAAAAAAAACTAAACAAATGGTTGAAAATAATGGCACAATTTTCAGTTTCATAATATGGTCCGTTCCCCGCTTCCTACAACCCTTCATTTATACTTGTAACTGAAAACTCTACAGAGCTGTGGGCAAGGAACAATTAGGGGTTCCTCTTTTACAAGAGGAAAAAAGCCACCAGAGTTTTACATCTCTGTCTAGAAGAAACTGTCATACACATGTAAATGTGAATAATGCCTGCAGAGCTGAGAATATTGCTAAGAGAAACCACATAAGGGTAATATTTAGTTATTAAAATTAGAATGTTTTGTCAGGGCTGCAACACTGTCCATTGAAAATGTCCATTCTAAATACAGCTCTTATTGTAATTACAGCAATAATTTAATTCATACATTGGAGGTTGTGAGCTTTTTTATATTTGCTAGATGGAATTCTGAAATTTAGTGCTTGTCTGTCTTAAGGAGATCTGCCCTGCATGCAAATCTATAACTAGACAAATATTATTTCCTTTCCCAGCTTGCTCTTGGGAGGTTTCCATATCCTCAGGTAAGATTGTTCATTACTGCCGTTTGCCACTGTGACATTCATTCCTATGTATGAAGGTGCAGGGAGCAATTGTGAACATTTGAGCCACATACAAATAAATCTGTCCTGTTAAATTGAAAAGTGATATCTTAAAGGAGTCATTTAGAAGTCTCTATTGATTTTTGATTTTTTTAAACTCTTGATTTTTTTCCCCCTTTGTTAAAGGTTGAAAGCGATCGTCGTGCTCTTCCTTTGTGAGACATTTGAGATGTTTTTTCTTTTCCTGGTCCAGTACTGTGTGCTCATATTGAGGTTGGAAAAGATACCCAGCCTTTTCTTGATATACTTTTTGAGCTTTTGGATTCAATTAAAATTATTTGAGTTAAAGTATTAAAATGAAGGGTGAGAGTATCTAATCTAGGTCATTATTTTTGTGAGGCAAATAATGGGCTCCCAATTTTATATGAATGTGATTTTTAATATATTGTTTTTAAAGATTTTGCTCCTTCCTATCCACATTTCTAAGACAAATACTGGCATTATACTAGCATTATGCTAGCATTGCTGACTCTAATATTTATAATTTCTTTAAGATTTTTATGATAGAAGGGTGCTAGCACTTAAAATACAAAGCTGTTTTGTGGTTTGAAAATGATTCCCCAGTGTGTGTGGGGAAATAAGTGAAATGTCTAGAGGGATGAAAAATGAATGGTTTGACTGTTTTCCTCTGGTTGATTCTCACTGTTTTTCTGGCATCTTGGTCTGTACAGGCCAAAATGCCTGGAGGCATGTCTGATTTAAAGGTGGTGTTGGTCTCTGCTCTTTAAGCATCTATTAACTTGCTATTATTATGCAAATAAGTGTTGTATTACACATACTAATTTATGCATGGTTAGATTATGCAGATGCATCACAAACATGGTTATTGAATAATAGGATGGGGCTCATTCTCTCTACCATCTTTATAAGCAGTTTTAAGCAAATTCTCCTGGTACCCATGTGGACATTTAAAGACTCTTCACTGACTGAAATGTCTCTTTTGTATTCTTTTTTTTCCATAGTTAAAGCTATCAGATAAGTGGAAGAGAAATCCTTCTACTTGTTAGGTTCAAGAGTGTTAGTCTCACTTTTCAAATTTGTAGACTTCTTTGTTTAAACATAATCTTTTTCTTAAAGAGGAAATCTAAAATGTAATAGCTTGGCATGCATGCTAGCATTTAGTAAAATTTTAGCCTATACAGCCTTGTTGCTTAGCTCTAGGTAACCCATCAAATTAAAATCACATTTTCAAGATTTATAGCTCATTAGAATATTTATCTTGGTAAACGTTTTATTCTGTCAGTAATTTTTAAACAATTCACTGTTTGGCCAATTTATACAATCCCCTAAAATTTTGAGAATGAACAGAATAGCCCTATACAATATATCTGTCAAACAAGTCTTTGTAGAAAACTTGTAAGCCAATTAATAAAAATTCCAAAGGTTAAGAATGTAGCTATATTCTTGAGATTCCTAATGTCTGGAGTAATCAGTGAGATTTGGGAAGTGATGAGTTTAAGAAATGTATTGCCATTGCATTTGACTAATGAAGCACATGAAGGCTTTGGTCAATTTTGGTAAGACACTAATACCTTTGCAGTGTTGTTTTCCTGAATGTCTAAAGTATATGTTTATCTAATCAGTCAAAGTTAGAAAAATTCTAATACTATGCTGAACTCTCCAGTTAGCAATAACTTTTATGCCAGAGTAGAAGGAAAACTGTATTCATTGAATCATGATAGAATGTTATCACCAAGTTGGTACTTTTACATCAAATAAAAGAAGCAACTTTGATGCCATCAGACCTATTTCCCAGGTCTTTCAACAGAAGTTTGGATGCTTCATTGCTAGAATCAATAATGACTTTTGGTGGAGTTGGTATTAATTTTACAGACTTTGTACTGTAGAGTGAAGGTCAGGAAAGGATATTTTATAAATGCCTTTCCTGTTCCTTCCTTTTACCCTCAAATAAATCACATGCAGAAGAAAAATGTATGTTTTTATAATATCACATAGACTGGATTATGAAATAACACTTTCTCTTTGACCTGTATTATCTCATTTGAACTCATAGCCACTCTGTGAGATAACCTCCCCTCATAAATTGGGCAAAAAATGGCTGATTTGCTCACTGTTGAACTGCAGCTGGTTTGGTTTCATTGAATCCCAAGTGGAGTAGGCAGGAGTGAATAATAGATTCTCAGGGTTGGAAGGGATCATAGCTTCTCTACAATGTCTCTGAAAAACAAACATCCACACTGCTTGAACACCTTTAGCAATAAGAAACTCACTACTTCACAAAGCAGGCATAGGGTCAAGCTATGTTCTATTTACCAGACTGAGGACTACCTCATCCTAATTATCATCCATTAGTCTGACCCTTGAACACATGAAAGCCTTTCATATATCCTTAAGATTGTTTTGAATCCCTGTGTACTCAGGGCTAGGGACAGTGCCAGGGAATTGGTGCTATGAACTCAAAGTCAAATCAGGACACCAGATTTAAGAGTGGCCTATTGGAAAGAGCTCTGTACCAGGAGCCAGAAGATTAGAATTAGAACCCAGCTCTACCACCAAAACACCATAGACTTTCATTCTTGCTTTGTAACTCCTTGAGGCTTCGGTTTCCTCATCTCTAAAATGAGGATCCTGATACCTACCTTTTCTATCTGATTAGAGGAGGCATGCTGATCAAATGAGATTATGGATGTGAAACTACTTAGAAGAGTACCAAGGGCCATCCTGCTGGCCCTAATGTTGGGCTCCAGTACAAAACAGAATTTCCAACTATCAACTGAAGGTTGCAAACGAATGCTCTTAGCAACCTGCCAGCCACAACTGGAACAGAACACAAAATAAGCAGAGGGTAAAACTGGGAGGAGGGGCCAGCTTCAGGATTTGTCCTTCTCCCAGCTCAGCATCAGTGCTGCTGACAACAATGTCATTAGCAGCCCCTCTTTCTGATAGTGACACAGTGTGTATCCAGTTGGGGCACAGATGGGGGCGGGGTGTTGGGAGGATATTAGGGAGAGTCAGTGGCCTGAGACCAACATAAAGGTTAAAGGGCTGGGTTTTTGTTGAGATAATCTTTGTCGAGATGATCATTCTATATGAATTTCATTGTTTTGTGGGTCAGGTGTTTGTTATTTGAAAGCACTATTTTAGTTTCCTTTAGGTCTTAGGCTTGAATAGCCTCATTGGCATGCAATTTAGGAGTCTATAGGAAAAAAGGTTAGGAGCCACTATAAATGCATAGTCCTATTCTATGGCTTATAATAAGAACAGTGGTGTCTTGGAGTCATCTAGCACTTTTCCCACATACAGCTCCAGAGGACTTTTTTAAATCTGACTGAGGCTGTACATCCCACCTATAGGGACTATTATTTCCAGCCTCCAGATGAACAGAATGAGGCTCAGAGACGTGAGGCATCTTGCCCTAGGCAGGAATAGGTACAGTTGGGTCTGGACCTGCAGACAATTAAACCAAATGACTGGCTCTGTGACCTCTTAATTTGGTTGGCTCTTCATACTCCTGCTCTCCTTCCCACTAAACCCCACCAACCCCTTCTCCTAGTTTGCCTTCTCTGCCCTACAGAGACCTCTTGTATAGTTGGGAAATGCTTAGCATTGGAGGGTTGTGCTGTTGTAGATGATGACAAGACCATTCCCTAGAGCCCTTTTGCTTTTCTTAACATGTGTTTAGCAGAATGACAGGGGATCCAGAGGACCCCAGTGCCATTAAATTCTAGGTGCCTGGGAAACATTCTGCAATAGGAAAATGAAAAATTACATTTTTAAACATCTCACAAACAGTGCCTCAATTTCTTGAATAATTGTAATCTGGAAAGATGTGCAGGTCTGGACAAGGACTGGAGCTCTGTATAGTTAATCATGTAGATTCAAATTCAGTTGACTTAAAAAACATGACGGTGGGCAATGATTTGTTTAATGACACCATAATTTAGGAGAAATGAAAAGGATTGCCTGCTAAAAATTGTCATCCTTCATTCAAACTTTACAACAGTGCCCTGCATTAGGATGATAGTAAATCCATTAAGAAGACTTCTCAGGGGATGCATCAGCTCTGGCATTGGGAAATTTGGTAAGCAAGATGCCACGGGAAAGTGAAGATAATACAAACACAAATGTATTTAAAGTACTTTTGCATGTATAAAAATATTGTTCTTCTTTTGGCTACAATTCCTGATCTTGGTTAATAAATTACATCAAAATGACCTGAAGTTAAAAAAGGGAAAAAATCTGAGCAAATAATGCCCCTGGTATTGTAAAGCTTTGAATGTTTTCACACCCCATTAATTTATTACTTCTCTTTCTTCATCTTTAAATTTCATTTTTTTTTTCAAAAATTCCGGCTCCCCGCTGCTGCAGTGATTTTCATCTTGTTGTTAATTTTCCCTGCTCCATATGGAGCTCCAGACATTTCACCTGGAGGCTGTACTAGATTTTGCTGTAGTGATCGTACTTCCGGAGGCCAAAACTGTCATTTAGGGTTCCTGGTGCATCTGTCTGCGCCAGGCTTTTCACTGGCATGGGAGAGTGTGAATAACAAATTGGATGCACCTGAGATTCGGATGATTAGTGTGTTTTGTGAATCTCCACGACTTGTAAGCAGATAGCTCTGGGGGAAGGGGGGAGCTGAACAGCGACTGTGGGTGAATCTGTACTCACACCTTACATTTGGGGCTTTGCAAGGGAAGTGCAAACATCCTAGGCAGTCTGAGTGCAGAGAGAGTAACAAATATTTCATCCTGCCTTGTCATTGATTAGAAAAGAGCCTTTAATTTCATTTCACCCCATGTTGTGATTAATTTGCATTCTTTGTCAGAAGTTAATGGAGTTTTTTATGGTTCACTCTGAAATCCTTGAAGACATCAGACTTGATCTGATGTTTATACAACCGCCAGCGGAATTTTTTCATTTGATTGATGGCAAGCTTGATGTTATTCCAAACGGCTTTTTAA